CGTGCTTTGGTAAGCGATATTGTCTTCTGCTGGTATGTTGTTGTCATCGGCTGGGAATCGTCACGGTCAATGGTGGCCTTTACTAGAGCCGCCATCCATGTTCGTCCTTGCTGCAGATTTGGAACAGCAAAATAATGTATGGTTGGCTTGGTAAAATTGACTGCCTTGGAAAGCCCGGCTCGGGGAGGCATGAGCTTAAATATGAACATCGAATCCGTTCCTTTCTCGGCAGGCGAAACGGTAGCATTATCTGCAAGAGTTGGGAGGTTACTGTCGGCAGGCATGATTGGGGTGTTACTAGCTCCCGTCAATGTGGCGTGTAGCCCGGTGAGTCGCTCGTTATCGGCCGGCAACACGCGATGGAACGAGATGTCGATCAACCCTTTCTCTTCGGTATCGTCTTCCGAGTAATAATACGCCAGACGTCTTCCCTTGAGGACAAAGAGCCGCGGTTTCCATGTTGTCATCAGGTGTGAGCTTTTCTTCTTCATCCATCCACTATAATCTGCATCCTTAATTGCTTCGCGTGGGCCAATCTTCTGTAGGCCGCGGAGATAAGCACTCGTTTCCTGTTTTGTCTTTTTCCCGCTCTTGCGACTGGCGGTGGTAGCCGCCGAGTATGGACTTTTTCCTGTGTCAGGGGAATCAATCTCGAAACTTGGGCCACCCGAAGGCGTACTTGAACCGGCCCTGGATGGAGATCTCAAAGGCGAAGCCTGGGTAGAGGAATCGGTTGGCGAACCGACTTTTGTGTTGCCAACCATGGCATCAGAAATTGCCCTCAAGCCCCCAAACTTACTACCGGCAGTGGATATCCAATCGCCATGAACTGCCGGTCGATTCGACGTCGAGGTAGGTGAGCCACCGTCGAGCTTAGTGACCGTTGGGTTAGGAACATCCTTGGCAGGAGGTATAGGCCGCACAGACTCAGTAGTATTAGTAGAGGCTGTCCGCCTGTGATCCCCAGAGAGACTGTAATACATTTGCGCAGCGCTGGGAGGCGTCGAATCTCTAGTTGAATCAATACTTCCGAACCTAGAACGCCTGGCGATAGCTGTTGCGCTTCTAACGCGTTGCTGTTCTGTATAACTTGACTTATGAGCATGCGCAGTATTGCTTTCGCGCTTCTTAAGCACGTTGCGCTTTCGACCATCAACTTCAGTACCAGAGAAATAGCCACGATCAAGGTCAAGAGCCGGATTATGTGCGACCTCTGTATCAGATGTATTCACGGCGTCGCCGAATTCGGTTGATGATAATGGCCTTGGAGGTTGAGTAGAAGAAGCTGCACCCATAGTCCAATTGCGGTCAAACGAAGGTTGTTTTTTATGTGAAGGCTCGGTCCGCGGAAAGGTACCTGAAGATACAAGTTTCGGTGTTCCAGCAGCATTGACTGGAGGGGCAAGTCTAAAATCGGTAGAGGAGTGCCGTCGCGAATGGTGTAGTTCTCGGACGGAGGCTGCCGAGGGTCTCTTGTGGTGCGACGGTCTTGTTGGGCTGTCTTGGGCGCCTCTGGGAGATTTGGGAGATTTGGGAGTTAGAGGCGCCATCGAATCCATTTTTGGCGTTTGAGAAATGCGCTTTGCATGAACTGAACCTGGCTGACTTTCGGATGAAACCACTCTTTGCGAGTTTGTCAAAGTATTTGACCTGCTCCTCACTCTTCCACCAACCTTGAAGTCTTCCGACCCCGCCTCACTACCATAAGTTTGTGTAGTTCGTCTCGTAAGAGTGCCAATCCCACTCACTTCATCCTGCAAGTTTTTGATCTTTTGCCACGTCTTTAGTCGTCGCCCAACAGAACCGAGGTCGAATGCCTTAAGAAATAGCGACGACTGATCCATGCCTAAAAGTACCTCGCCTGATATTTCCTGATCCCGAAATACTTCACAATGCTTCTTCTCTACACCAAGAGTAAACAAATATTCCGCCACATCATCGGCAGTCCACGCTTCGACTTCGTCACGAGTATGCAGGACTTCTTCCTCCTCGTCGGTCTCCTCGCCCTGGATATAAGAGAGTCGATCCGGTAGATGAGAACTGTATTCGCTCCCGGAATCTGTTGTATGATGGAGTGCGCCGTTCTGCGGGGTCGAGTGCAGGTCTGTGATGTGCTCGTCGATAACAGTCAAAGTCTCATGCAACACTGGATTCTCCTGGCTCTGCGCATTAAGACGACCTAACCCTTCGCTGCTGCTGCTGCTACCATACGCAAAGCTTTTACTTACGAGAGGCGCTATAGGTGCGGGTGCCGTTTTCCCATCGGATTTTGTGGAATTCAGCGGTAGGGTTACGGGAGTGGCCTTTGGCGAAACAGATGGAGCTGCTTGCGGGGTCGAATTGCGATCCTGAGTCGGTGTAGTGGTCGATGCCGGTTGGCTGGGTACGGATGATGTTCCATTGGTGGATGAGAGCGAACTTGCGATCAGTCTGGGACCGGTGGATGAGGCCGTGACGCCCCTTGGCGCCGGTCGCGTATATACTACAGAGGATCAATCAGTTGCGATTCTGTCGCAAGTTATACGTGGTCCTCCCCGTGGTGACGCTGCTTACCTTCTGGGAACAAGCCACTATTTCCATTCACCATATGGCGACCCAAAAACCACCCATCGCCGAACTCATCATCGCGTTCGATTAATTCGACACGGTCGCCCTTTGCTAGACTCAATTCGTCCGAACTTCTAGCCTGGAAGTCATCTAAATATTTACCCCGTTAAATGGAGTTCTTTCATTTGCGCAAAACATGATGTTCGGATTTTCCCATTTCTTTTATAGCCAAATTGCAGATACGAATGTCTCAAATAATGAAAGGAGACCAAACTTACGGATGACCACCAAAATATCACCAGCGTCTGGTCTCGCCATGATGTCTACAACAGGATTGCGCTTGGTGAGGACTCAAGGATTACTTCGGACTCAGGGGAGTGGCATTGAATAACGGCTGCGTAAACACCGAGGACTGAAAGAAAAGGTGGCGATCCTGATCCGGCTCCTGATTCCGAATGGACTGCGGAGTCTATCGAAGACCTGACTCGAACAATGTTTCAATGGTGACGAAATGCATCGATAAAAGCGGCCTTTGGTATAGGAAAAAAAAAAAAAAAAGACTACTACAAAATAATATATACGAGAAAGGGTCGGGTGGGAGTACAATCGTCTCGTGTTATTTTGGCTGTGGATCTATGTCGCCTCTACCGTCGCCTTCAGCCTTCGGATTTGGGACTTCGAGTTTTGGCTAGAACCTGAGGACCGTTGTCCAATTGGGTGTTCCCTCCTTTTTTTACCGTCCTAGTCGCACCAAACTCGCGAGCACAAGAAAAAAAACCCCAGACTAGGGGAAATGAATGGACGAGGCACAGGCCTACGTCGCTCGGTAAATGCACATAGGAGTAAAGAGGGGGAAGAAGAAAAAAAGGAATGTAACCAATATATGTCTCTTGAAGGAAAACGCAGACGATGATGTAGTGTTTTCTTGAGGACTGAATTGAAGGATACGGAGGGTATAGATTTGGCGAGGAACCTATGTATTGTAGGATTTGAGCGCGGATGGGATGGATGGGGATGAGAGAAAGCAACCCGTTTGGATGGGTTTTAGCGGACGGATCACGGAGTGAACTGAGGGGTCTTTTTCTTGTATACTAGGTAGGTACATACGAAGGTCCGGGCCAAAAAGTCTTGCATATGTGGAGGTCCCTAGCACCGTAAATCAAACGTCATCCTTTTCTATTAATACTGTATCAGCTACCTGCTAAGCTAAAATTTGGATAGTGGCCTATACGCTAAGTTTAGGTGGCTTACCACTGCATTTATAGCGGAATTAGCCACTACAGCTTAAGTAATACCGTGCGGTCCTTTTCTACTCACACGTGGTTTGCCAAGACCAGATGTGCAAGTATTTTAGCCCGGACCCATATCTATGCAGTTATCCGTTAAACATGTAAGCTCCCTAAACCAAAACCGGGCCATGTATATAGGTATATTTCATGTTGTATGGAAGGACGGACGTTAATTACCAGGCAAGGTAGTCACACCTGTTATAGTTCTTAGGTAGTATAACAATAACATATAAGTATACCTCTATTCATTATACCTCCTTTGTTAAGACTATTAAATGCTCGGTTATTCATTTCTCTCTTTGGTTTCAACCCCGACCTTCTCTTATGTAGTTGAGTAATTACATGTATTTGTGCAATGTCTGGTTTTTTCCTGCTAGGAGGTTGTTAGCTTAGTATTATAGTTTAGGTACTTTATATCCCCGAGTCTTCGGCACCCGGAGTAGTTCGTTAAGCTGGATTTAAGAAATATAGCATAAGATGATAAGTACGCAATCGCATCAAAGCGCATCCGACATCTGTTAAGGGTTTAAACCTGCTCAAAGAGAAGTTTTAAGAACGATGCGTAAACCAAGTTAAGTGAAAACATTAATCGGAAATTTAGACCTCTCCTTAAAGATGTGCCTTGAGTACCAGGATATCCACCACTGGGTTGTTTTCAGGGCCATGCAGGGCAAGGCTCGATTTCCAAGATCGCCAAGGGCCGGCCTTGTAATCCCGTCCCGAGACCGCCCCGAGGCTGCTAAAACTAAGATAACTGATGTACCTGTCTCGGCAATTGAAAGTTAGTCTACCCGATTGTTTTAGATATTTATAACGCCGTTTTGAAAGGGTTAACATATTCAGGTTTATATATGGTCAAATATCAAACCTGCAAAAGGTAGGTATTATATATTTGGGTACCTACCTATAAGACATTGACTGAAGCAAGGGAGTGGATGAGTTGAATTAGGTACCGTCATGTTGTGATGGTGAATTGGTTAGGCTTTACAAAGTATGTACCTAATGTACCTCCAATATCGGACAGGTTTTATATGTACCTACAAGAGGTAGATAAGCGCAACTTCATCTACTCCGCAGAAACATCTTATCAGCACGTAATACTTTACGTACATTTATGTATATGTGTATCAGGGGAGTTGCTTCCTTCAGAACCTCACACTAGTACAGAATACATAGGTATGTATTCCGTACCTACTAGAGATCTAAACATCGATCTGTACTAGGCCTTAGACCCAGCTGTCACATCCTTGCACGGCAGTAGCTGCCAGGGCTGGCCGGGCTGCCAAATTGTTTGTAGCCGCCTGCTACCGCCGTGAACTTGAACCCTTGAACCCTTGAACTTGAATTTGAAACTTCTACTATCTACATTCACCCACCCACCGCCGCGCCGATATTGGACAACTCAACCATTCGTATATGGACATCTTCAACAGCCGAACACGTAGCATCCATTCCGCTCTATCGTTGTCCTTATATAATCTTGCTATTTTCTATATTACTTATGGTGCGTTTGTTTTTCCAACTAGCTAAATAATACTTTCTTCCTGTGTTTATCTTTTATAGCTCTAGATTAGACTCGTCTGTAATTATTTTATATTAACATATGATTTCCTAACTATAGTATTCCGTACTTAAACACTCACGATACCGAGGGGGACACGAAGGTCAAGTTGTAAAGATATTACTAGAAATCACGAATGACTGATGGCGCCAACTGGGGGGCAACGATCAGGAACAGAGATTGGGACGGGATCAAATATAAACTCGAATGTGTCGTCGGACCGGCAAGTTGCGGCGTCGAATTCTACTCTAAATGCCTGGGTTGGTCGTCGACAACCTTCATGGCTTACCAACGCAAAACCCGTGAAGCCTTCTCCCCGTCCTCCACAACCGCCTAAGCAACCTATCACCACGGAGACTGTGCGCCCCATTGTCGAAACAACCCAGCCCGTCTCCGTCTCAGTCCCAATCCCTAATACCCCGGTGACGACGACTACTCCTGCCCCACTTCGACAACCTCGTCGTCCTCAACCTCCGCCTGAACCTCCGCTGTTGCAAACACAAACACAAGCACAAGCACAAGCACAACAACCGCAAATATCGTAAGCTACGTTCTAATACTATCACGGTTCACGCGTCGCGATCCTTTCTAGATGTCCACCTAAACCACCCCCCTCCCAGCTCTCAAGCTAAGCCACCTACCACCTGTTTCATTGTTACTAACCACTGCATCCTGTGACGCGATAGAACTCCGGCTACGCGTACCGTACTTCCCTCGCCTGCCCCCAGTGACGAGCCTAGTCCAGGTGCCACCAAATCTCAAGGTGTGCCTGCAGTGGCCCGACCTCAACTCATCCTTGATATCACTTCGGATGACGAGGAACAAGCTCGAACCCGGGTCCCTACACCCCGTCTACGGACAATATCGCAACAAAACGGGGAGATCTCGGTGTCCCCGAGGGCATCCACCCCTGCTAATATGTCCCTCAATACGCCTCCTACACCGAATCTACCATCACCCAATAGTGATGTGATACCCTTAGAGGGCCCACCTGCTAAGAAGCAGCGTCGTGGGTATGTATAAAACCTAGCTATCTTGCAACAATCGTGGTTAGCGGTATTGGAGAATTTGATAACTGATAGTATTTACTATCTTAGTGACCCTACGCTCCAGTTCCTCGTCGAGTGTGGAGCAACTGTAGTGCTCAACAATCGTCTTCAATCTATAGGAGGAGTGAATAATCTAGACCCGGCAGTTGAGCGGCCCCGATATCAACTCTTACTCGACTCTTCTGAATCGGGTGACCTCTTCTTCATCGTATTACACCAGGTCTTTTGTATCTGGTCTAGAAACCGAGCACAAGCTCATGATCTTTGCAAGAACCATGCGTGCGCCCCAGGAGACATGGACAAGGGGTTTATCAACTTGGAAATGGTTCTTAAGAGCAATACCAAATTAAACCCAGACCACATCAATTTCTTAGCTGAGTTTCCAGCTCCGCTAGATGAACTATTGAGCAAGATTAGGTATAAGGCCACTCTGGGGCGAGTACTCAATTTCCTCTACCGAATGGCTCTTAATTGGATCAGAGTACTCGCAGATCACCGAGCAAAGGGCTACCCTTTCCTTATGGGCGAGCTCATTGATGAATTTCTACTATTTTCCCCCATACTCCAGGGAATAATGTTCCGCGCCTCGAGGAGGAGCATAGGGGCCGGAGATGGACCTACTGCAAAGCGTATGGAGATGTTATTCAAGTCAGACCAGGACTATTATCAAACTTATCCTAAAGACTTCACTATGAAGCCCCAACCCCCAAGGTACCAAGCGCACAACGAAAGCCTCATCACCACGTATATGGCTATCCTTGTTTCCGCGTACCAGTCACAGGGCTATCAAATGGGCCAACAATCCTATCCGACTGGACCACATAATATCCAGCAGTCAAACCAATACCCTTACCAAAATATTCAGATAGGTTCCCCGACCAATTCTCAATTTATTTCCCACGCGAATCCTCAGATGGGTGGTCAGATAAACCCACAATTCAATCCTCAGGGGAGCTACTTGGCGAGTCCCCAGATCGGTCCTCAGATGAATACCCAACTCAACCGACAAGTAGATCCCCGGGTGAATTCTCCGGTTGGATATCAGATAAATCCCCAAATGCAGCAGAATTTTTATCAGGGTCCCTTCCAAGCACCTCAGGCTGCCGATCCTGCTCTTACTCAAGGTACGATGCCGGCCGCGATACCGCCTTCGTACATACTATCTTCAAACGCCAATCCAGCCAGCAGCTTAACAGCGACAACGCCGTTACAGCCGAAGCCCAATTATCGGAGGATATATCCTGCTACGCAGTCTGCTCAATTTAGTCACATGCAGCATCAAACGGTGGGGAGACTTTCTCAACCAGACTCTTATATGGCGCCGGCATCTCCACGACCTACTACTCCTGCTTTGACAGGTGCGCACGCTAGTCACCCTCATCTGGTTCGTTTCACTGGACAACGGGCGCAGAGTTTACATAGACACAACAGTCAGTCCGGGGTCTTCCCTCCCAGCCACCTAAATCCTGGAAATCAAATTCCAGACTGTAGCAATTTCAATTCCGCACCAAACACACCAACGACTCCGCAGCTAAGGTACTCTACAAATCAGTTTCAAGGAAATCAAGTCCAGGGGCCCAATTATACCCAATCGGTTTCGGATCCCCGGCTGCAACACAAAACGCAGTTCGCCGGTCACGACCGTGGCCTTGACCGTCTAATTCCGGCGCCCGGTGTAACCATCGACCGGCGAGACTATCCTTATACTCAGTATGACAGAAATTCTGTTGTGATGTCTCTTCATCAGGTTCAGTTGAGAAGCCCGAAGAGAATGCCGCAAGAACATGACCCAGCAAAGTTGGAAAGGTATTATCAAGCCGTCAAAGGGTTCGCGCTCCCCCCAACCGCGATTCCGCCTCAGTCATATCTGCATGAGTTCGATTTTGACATCTCGGAACAACAGTTTATTCAGCTAGTAAAGGAAGAGGCTAAACAAGGCGAACACTTGCCGGTAAGTTTATTCTCCAGCGGATCTCTACGTCTCCGCGTTCGATGCTGTCACATGAAGAAGACGCATACCTCTCTTAGCGACGCTTGGATCACTACCGAAACAACTTGGCCGCGACATATTTTTATGGAACTAAACAAAAAGGCCTTCGGTATCCCTCGGAAGTCGCATTTTTCTAAGGATTTGCCGATTGAGGCTTCCTCGGCCGCTATCGCAAACAAGAATATACTCAAAGTCTCTATCCCAAAGATCAATGAAGAGTCCAAACCCGGTTGGGAATTTCATATTGCAATCGAGGTCATTGAAATTCTCAGCCACCGTGATGTGCTTCAGATGGTTAGAACGCGTGGAGGAGTACCAGCAGATACGACACGAGAGGTGGTTAGGACCCGACTTGTGGGAGCAAATGGGTGCTCCCAAAAGGATACGGACGAAGACGAAATTGTGATGCTGAACGAATTATCTATTGATCTCATAGATCCCTTTTCCAGGGTCATGATCAAAGTTCCCGTTCGAGGGAAGTCATGCACACACCTCGAGTGCTTTGATCTCGAAACCTGGCTGAATTCTCGATTGGGTAAGAAATCGTGCAACTGGTGTACCAACACTCCCGGTGGCTGTTCGAAGTGTCCCAACGAACCGTCTTTTGTGGATAAATGGAGATGCCCACTTTGTCTCGCAGATGCGCGACCCTACAATCTCATCATCGATGAGTTTCTCGTCGAAGTACGCTCACAGCTGGAGCACCAGAATCTACTACGGACGAAATCAATCCTTGTCTCCCCAGATGGGACGTGGAAACCGAAAGAGCAACCGGCAGACGATGATGGAGACGTCGATAGCGACGACGACGGTAACGCCTCAACCAGAAGACTATCCAAATCACACCAGCGTATGGAATCTGGAATTGAGGTCATCGAAATTGATTGAAGGCCCATAGAAAGTAAATTAGAGGATATTCAGAAGAGGGCGCACTCCCAACAATGGACCGCCAGTTTTAGGTCCGGGCCGGGCGATGAAGCAACCACAATAACATGAGACTAAGATGTGTCCGAAATTCCGCCTTGTATTTTGTTTCTTTTCGCCATTTCTTTTGCCCGGGTATGGACTCTCAACGGCAGTCGTTCGTTCGAACTGATACCCCTCTGCCTACCCCAAGTTTTGCGACGCGGAGTTTTTCGACGATGGCGATTTTCTTTTCCTAGTCATGCGTCCACATAGTGTCCAGCATCGCTATGCAAAAGAGCGAAGAGGACAAGTTTAGGTCATCGGACACTAACAATGGAAAGGGGCACGGGACGGGCTGGTTAGGAAAAAGGGAAAGGCGTATACGTCTGTATTTTTGCAAGTACGTCTACGGACTACATACGTTGAGTTTGCGATCTATCACATACGTGGCGGGGACGTCCCATCTAGGGAGTCGTCAGCTAAGTCAGTAGCGAGCTTCTACTTGACTATACATAATAGCCACTTTCTAAGTGGCAATGCTTATGAATGGCAGGTCGGTTTTGTCGGCATTTTGATTCAACGATACGAAAATAAGAGTGGATAGTATGTAACGTTAGGGACTGTCAGCATTTACTCGAGCGATGATTTATCTTCATAGCACCTCACGGGTACCCTAAGGCGTATAGCTTCTCACTCATGTATACCCCCCTCATATTAGGGGTTGACTTTTTCCTCTACAAGGAAGACATCAGTGCGTTTCAGACGGACGGACAGACAGGCAGATGCGGCTTTATGTAGTAGGCAAGACTGCAATGGCGAAAGATATTTATTTACTCTGATAATTATGGTGATATGATGTGGACAGGCCTAATCGTAGAATGTTAGGCAGTAATACAACGCTTGTCCTAACTGGAGAGCTCGTCTAGGAGAGCTTTCTGGTATTGTAGCAAAGGAGTTGCTATGCGATGGGATCTTAACTCAAAGATTCCACCTTTAGAAGACTTGCAGTTGGATGGTATCTAAGATCACGATGTCCTACCCTCATCTCGCATAGCCCTATAAACTAGGTTAATGCGTGTTGTTGACCAAAGCCAGTTTATCCGACACCTGAAGTCAATGTAGTATGTGTAAGGAATAATATGTGTAGCGGGATACTGCTTGGAAACACTGTAGTTTGAGATTGCGCAAAGTCGATAACATAGTGTGGCGAAGCTTCAAATCATATGATAGAGTATAATAACTACGGCAAACCCCAAGTCTATTTCAGAGAATACTACGGAGGTGCACAACCACTTTTCCATTCAAATAGTTAGCAACATATCCAAACAAACCCTAAATCTACGAGCCCAAGTAATTTTCATTTTCGATTTTATTCTTTCCGTAACCTAACCTAAGCCTACCCTACGCCTATAAAAACCAAAGCCCAAGCCCGCTATGTTAGTAGATATTTACAACCGCGGAGGCGTAAAAAAAGAAAAGACAAGACGAGACAAGCGAACGCTTCCGTTTTCCTAGGTATCTTAGCCTCCCTTTACCCTTGTACCAAAAAGTACCCAGAGGCTCTATTCGTACGCCCAAGAGAAATATGCCCGCCTGTGCTTCATACCGGTCGATCTCCGAGGACTCTAGCTCCTACCTGACGACTGGCCGGCGCTTGGGCCGGGTTTCCGGGTAGTCCTCTCCGGCTCCGAGTCGTCCTCGTCTTCGCTTTCGCTATCGCTTGCGTTGCCCACGCTATAACGCTTTTCCTTGCCTGCACCTGCGTCTCTGGGTGTTGTGATATGTAAATCGTCCAACTCTCCTTCGTCAAAATCGCCCGTCTCCAAGTCGCGGTTGTTTGATGCCCTTCGGTTACGGAAACCTTCGAGCCCCGTGGCACGTGGGAGGTCGGATAGTATAGGCAGGCCCGAGTATCCGACGGTTCGGCGGCGACCGCGCCAGATCATGTAGCCCCAGATAGCAGCGCCGATAACCACGATGACTAGGACGACTTCGCCTGATCTTTGGTAGGCGGCCCACTTGGCGTCGCTGAGCTCCTTGTCCTTAGCCGCCTGGTCGGACTCGGTGTGGTTGGTAGCACCGCCTACAGTAGTATCAGGTAGTTTCTCGCCATCGAGGGTACTCTTCGAGGGTATACCCCCGATTTTGCTGATGTCGACTCCCATGAACCGGTCAAGCATATCGCGGGTTCGGCGCGGATAGTCGAAAGGCACCATATGCGACGAGTTGTAAAACAGTACATAGGTTAAATTACGAGCTTCCTGCCAGAAGCCGGCCGGCTCACCCTCGAAGGTCCAATCGCGTCGCGGTGCCCAGTTTCCGGGGGATAATTCAAACCCTTTCCCACCATTCCATTGCATGTTGCTTATGAAGGCTTCCGTGCCCAGATGGTTGCATATAAGGTCCTCCGCACCCGAAAAGAGAAGCACATTTACTTCCTTTATGAGGTCGGGTAGAAATTCGATAGATGGCCTTCCGGCATTTCCCCTAAGCGCATTACCAACAAGACCGTTGCACTCGGTCCATCCCGTAGCTTTATTCTTGTCAATGTGTAGTGCACTGACCACTTCTGGCTTTCGAAGGTAGGGCGTGACGAATTCCAGATCCGGGGGCCAGTTCATGCCGCAACTCGGATACACATCCTTAAGTCGGACGTCGTACATGTTGAAGCATTCGTTATTACCCCCTGAACCTTTCGTTTGGGTTCGGCGGAGGATTTCCTGAAGCACCTTTTCGCAAGTATCGACATCCACACGATGAGCACCAGATGAAGCCAAATCTTTTTTACACTCGCGGTATTGAGCCTCAATCCCGGCCGCCAAGTCGGAACCCTTCGTGACAATGTTCTTTTCGTATGCGAACGATAGGTACGCTTCGTACTGTTCCGGGGGAGAGATCCAGCCATTTCCGATCAACAGGCCTTTGAGATTCCACGGAGTTTGGGTTTGAGGTAGCTTGTTTCGCTCGAGGATCGCCTTTGCGATGTAGGGGATGTGCTGTCCGGCGAACGATTCGCCCGCAATGTAAAGCTGGAGAACGAGTTAACATATTGCAACAGAGGAGAACTGTGGATGTTTACATCGTCGTGCTCGTATTCCGGGAAGAGATTGTACCATTTTTCGAGGAAGGTAACGAACTGGCTCGCCATCTCGTCGAGGTTTTGTACGAAGCTGTTAGTATCGACATAACTATATCCGGTTCCCACGGGGTTATCGACGAAAAGCAGATTCGCAAACTCATTCCAGCTACCATTGTTATACTGTAAAGTATTCTCGTCCTTCAAGCGATAGGGTCCAATCTCCATCATTGCGCCATCTTCGGAACTGCAACCGGGTCCTCCGTTTAGCCATATGACGGTGCGCTGTCGATTTGCAATATGCTGATTCTGAAAATGCCAGAAGAAAATGTTCCCGTTGTGCTCTGGTGTGATCTCGACGTGTCTATGCGCGAAACAATGAGAGTCAGTTTGGCAAGCTGGTAATATATAGTACACTACAGAACGCTGATGGGTGTCAGGGGTCTTCACTCACCCAGCATGCATCTTAATCATATCCCCCTCGGGTACACCTGGCAACGAGTGAACATAATAGTCTCCAGCACTCTTTTCGGCATTGGTTATCGATGTCCAGCAGGCCAGTCCGAGAAGTGCGCCGGCGGCAACGCGCACCGAACTCCAGAGCGAAGCTGGAGGAGGCATAATTGCAAACGCCGAAAAGGATTCTCGGGTTCTCACTATGACGTTAACATCCGTTATCTACCTAATACATCCATCAAAATGATGATTGTTTTTGGAATAGTTATATTGAAAGTTATGAGAAAAGATAAGGTAGTCAATAAATATAAGGTTAGTAGGTAAAATCGATTACGATGGAGAGATTACGTATACACAGCGCACTCTAGGATACGGAAGGCGAAGGTGGCCTCTGTATGTATGTACGTAAACGACAGGCTAAGCCAGGTTGTTTAGGGATGTATTGTATCTTTCTTACGATAGCGGCTAATAAGGGTCGTACGGATTAATGCGGCAGCGGCAGCGGCAGTGGCAGTTGCACCTAACTTTGCGGCTCGATGTGGATTCAAAAAGCAGGGGCGGCTTACGTTAGTCTTTTTGATATTCTTACAGCCAATCAATTTCAATATTAAACAAAACACCTCGATAAAAGAATACTAAGGTACGGGAAGTTATGAGATACATGTATCTTGGTACCAAAATGCATTAAATTCTAAGCATGCGAGCTCATTCCTAATTGTCTCATATCATAACAAGGTACTAATATCATAAGGTGAACGGGCCAGGCAAGTGCAAGGTGAGGAAAGATTGACGAAGCCCGCGTTGGCGCCGGACTGCATAATTCAAAAACCAAAACCAAAACCAAACCCAAAATCACAACCTTTTCTTTTCAACTACACATTTTCAATACTTAACCTACCTACCTCAGATAATCAGCCTATACACATGGGCCTTCATACGCATCACACAAGCTTCTCTACACCAGATACTATAGCAGCAGTATCGTTATCACCAGTTCTGCGGCTTTGAAGAAGACCAGTGTTGTCCTGCTTCGTTTCCGGTGGAGGTGGCAACAATTCTCATTTATATCACTCCAATCGTATATTCCACTATTTCTCCTTTCCAAGCAATGCTTCGGCTGCGCGATATTCACACTTTTCGGTCAGATAATTTCCTCGGGATCCGTTGATATCGCCGCATCAAAGCGTAGCGGTAATGATATCAAACTCAGAAATCTCACATCCCGAAGCAGTACAGTCCCTGCCTCGACCATTGCACTATTTGTCAAAAGCTGTTCTCGCATCAACGTGCAGGCGAGGTACAATATGATACCAAATACCATACTAACCAAACATATTCCCAGCCGTGTATTGTACGGAAGACTGGCATTTCGAGGGTCGCAAACTAATATCGCATGCTTTCCTAGAACGCCTTCGCCTTTGTTATACGGATGAGGCTGGGGTATACTCCTAACGTATACCGTACACTCCCAAACCCCCATCAAAAATCCAGAACTGAAATGACGTGAAACCGGCTCATGCACCCTAGATGCCTTTCTCTTCCAACTTGAACCCCTATGAAAGCTTCATACGGTTCAGTACACTATTACGACGCCCTTCTACTG